ACTGGTATATGTTAATTTTGTAATATTTAAATCTGGTTGATGAAAAAGTACACACCAGTGCAGGTTATTGTAGCATCTACGAACAAATGAATTAATGGCCCATTGGCAATTATTCCTTTAGGAAAAATATTCAACACAGCCTAATTAATTAATAAAATGAAAAAAATCACAATCATGTCGTATATAGTTTTTTTAAGCATAAAATAATTTTTATATTAATACTAGTTCAAAAGTGAAATTACGACCTCTATACTGTGGAGAGTATTGAAACGCTCGACTGACGAATACAACTCTATACCGTAGGGAGATTTAGAAATCGATATTCAAACGTGGCGTCATCCTATACACCTCTATAATTTTCCGTTTGCTGTGTAACTAAGATAAAATTGTACTAACTTAAGTTATCTCGAAAATTCAAAACTTGTCCAAATTTAATTAATATCAGATTTCTGCTCCCAGAATCACCCTTGCATATGTAAAATTATAATAAATAAACTACTAGCGCTTTGGTTTTTCTTATTAAAAATCTACAAACTGAGTTTAGTTGTGTAATTATTTAGGTTCAGAAGATAATTAATTAATAAACAGCTAAAAATACTAACCTGTCCATTACATCCACTATCACATCACAGATTCACAGAGTAGAGGTGTGTAGTACGCGAACGAACTAGTTCAAAAGATCGAATTTCGTAACTGAACTAAAAGATTCAATAACCAAAACTAAAAAGAGCGAATCAATTCGAACTAAACTAAAAATCCGTAGATATATTTCATTATATCCGTATTTACTAATGGATTTTTTTTCACGCAAATTCGTTCCTAAAATAGGCAACCAAATCAACCACTTAATGGTCTTGGCAACAGCGTACCATTTTGACCAGCAGCAAGTGCAATTCCAAGAACACTTCTTTGGTGCAAATCAATCAATCAATCTCAATATAGTTCACTTGAACTACTAGAGAAGTGTAGTTCGCGAACGAAACTACGTAAATCCGATTATAAATCAGTGAACTAAACGAACTAGTCTTTAAAGACAAATTTGTACTATTCACTTTAATGAACGAGATCGAAAGATCGAAATCAGGAAAGTGAACTAAACTTCCCACCTCTATCACAGAGTGCCGACGCCGACAGGATTTATAGGTTAGGTTAGTGATGACCACCCATACAGCACAAGATGTCCAGTGGACGTCAAATGGACTTACATTGGACGTTTGGATGTACAATGGTCGTCCGCTGGACGTCCAATGGATATATGTGCTGTGTGGGCACAGAACATAGTGATGACTTGACGTTTGAGTTTTGCCGTTGACATTAAATCAAATTTTGACGCCTTGCGCCATATTCCCTTCTAAGAAGATTATATAATAATATAATCTTCTTATTCCCTCTCTATAGTGAAACTTTCTCTATGATTCCTTCCGTAACGTAGGCTCAGTTACCAACAGTAAAAAAGTTGCTAAAAATTTTGTCCAAATTTCGAGATTCGATCGAGAACGATCGATTTATTATTTTTTTCTAATTGAAGGCAATTTTGAAAATTGTACTAGAATTGCCGAAGAGGTGCTGACGTAGAAGCTTATTTTTTGTACTAGAAAAGTACAATTGTACTAAAAATCACACCCCTGAATACTGTCAAATATCAAAAAATGTGAGGTTATGCAAGTTTGTTGTTTATTATGATTTGTTAAATGTTGTGAAAAATCAGACACCTACCATAATCACACCCCTATTATATTATTATATTATTATACTGTCAAATATCAAAAAATGTGAGGTTATGCAAGTTTGTTGTTTATTATGATTTGTTAAATGTTGTGAAAAATCAGACACCTACCATAAATTTGAAGTTATTTGGAGTTTTTTAACATTATTATGGTGGGAAAAAAAGGGCCACGTTTGGTTGGGAGACCCCAACATAATTTTTGGCATGAGGGCAAATTTTTATCAATTATAGAGAAGTGGAAGGAGAAGGTCGAATAAGGTAATTTACGTAGGTAGAAAACCCTATAGGTTTTCGACGCAAGTCGAAAACAAGTTTTCTACCCTTTTCTACCAAGGTAAATTACCTAAGGTTTTCTACTGACCCAACCCTGCTGGAGAGTATTGAAACGCTCGACTGACGAATACAACTCTATACCGTGGCGAGGTTAGAAAACTGTATTCAAACGTGGCGTCATCCAATACACTTCTATATTTTTCCGTTTGCTGTGCAGTATACAGTGTTGCCAGAAATGCAGAATTTTCTTCAATATGCAGAATTTTACCCTACATCGAGAGCTAATGAAGAAAAGAAGAATATTTTACAAAAACCACTACAATATGAAGAATTTTTTAAATTCACATGTTTTTTTTTCATTTTTAATTTTTTTCAATTTTCTAGAATATTTAATTCTTTAACTGGATTTTAACACTGTAATGTGATTTAAAATTTAAATGTAATTATTTTATTCATTTCGTATGCATTCTGACATCTCTCGGTAAAATGGTATAAGACTCGAATTGCATCACTGGTCTTACACTGGGGAAGCCCCGAATTTTAATAGATATGATTGGTATAAAATAGGTATATTTATTTTATTTATAATTTATAAATCATAACTCCATAAAATATAATATACCTACTATATTATAAGGTACTATAGTAGCTACCTAGGTATATATAATATTATATTTTAAGGATTTGCATGCATGCACATGTGCATTGTGTATTAGAGATTTATTTAAAAGTGAAGAAGATTTTCAAGGGTAAATATTACAATTTTAAATATGTATGCATATTTATTAATTAAATGAGCATTAATGCTCGAATTCGAATTCGAGTGCCTTTGTCACAGCAAATAATAATTAAGTATTTTGTATCTTATTTTAAGATTTTCCTAAATCCTCGAACAGGGTGGCTCTGTGAAGTGCCAAGTGAAGAGACAAAATTTGAATGTCGATGGTGTAATGCAATACTTTATAAGGGTGTTTTCAAAAATGAATGATGTGAAAACAAAAAAAAAGAAACAGACTTCAAGAAAATACATTGAATTCATAGATTAATTTCCTTTGCGTATTGCGTACCCATTTTAAAGATACAGGTACAAATTCTGAAAAAAATTTTTGACACCAAAAAACATTTAGATTTAATAAAATTAAATAATTTATTTAATTCCTACATCATGGTGTATGGTTTTTGTTCTGCCTAAAAAATGAATTCATTTTCTTTAATTTGTAATTTATAAAGGTTTTTTATCTAATGACGTTTTACATCTCTGCAGCACAAAACTAGTTTTGTGCTCTGCAGAAATATGAAGAATTTTTAAGGTTAAATTGAAGAAAATTGGTATAAAGAATCTGGCAACACTGAGTATACAGTACAGTATCATTATCAACCATAGTGTTTGTCTTAAATTAATTATAATTATAGTTATCATTTATTAATTACTTTTTCTTAATTAATAATAAATTAATGATTTTTATATAAAAACTTTACACCTCTAGAACTTTCAACAGTTCATTTTTTAAAGTATATGGAGTCTTTACAATAATTTACCAAGTGATATAAAAATATGTGATAATTTGAAAATCTTTAAGAAAGTGTTTATAAACTATGTTAAAACTAATTTTAAGAATATTTTATTTATTTTGTTAATATTTAAAATTTGTATGAAAATAGCTATTGCCAAATAAAGTTATATTATTATTATTATTTTTATTAATTATAAATGATAATAGAACAAATCACAGAAGAGATTGTTATAGAATGCCCCAAGTCACTTTTAAATTTGAATCTAGTTACCATTAATAGCGCAGCACAGAGGACTTTGACACGCAGTCATTTATATATAATCATATCAATTTATAAATTTCCGAACCATACGTAAAAAAATAACAACAAACCCTTTGACAAAAATTTAAATTTGGATATTTTTTATTAAGTTGCTAATAAATATTTTTTTAATTTTTTGTTTTATTCGATTTAATTATTGTATAGGTACTATCGCTAACAAAAAAAACTCATACAGCTTAAAAATCTAGTGTTCCTGATTTTGTATCATTTCGTTGGAGTAATTATGGCTTTTAACATGATACGTCACATTTGAAAGGTCTAAAATTAAATACAAAGTTAGGTTGAAGTTTGAAAAAAAAAATAATATTTCGTCATCCCCTCTGTTTTTGTCAATTACTGCCCGCAAACTGCAAAGCATGGAAGTCGCCGTCTTGCTTTATCTCGTTCCAAATGGCTTCAATGGCTTGCCAGAGTTCGTCTGCATTGTTTGGTTGAAAATGTTGTTAAAAAAGTCATAATGGATGTAACAAAGCTCGATGTCAACTTGACATTGACGGAAAAGTTTTATTCACACAGCCACAATATAGCTGTATGACTTTTTTTTGTTAGCGATAGTATCATAGGTATGTCAATACTTTTTAAAAGGAGATAAAGTAACCGTTATCATGATCAACGATTGTGGAGTTCGGTTTTGTTTGGTGCTCAATGAAAAGTATGAAATAGGTATAGAAAATACTATTAAACTAGTCGTAAAGAAACTTCCCTGTATTTTTGGACAATATTGCAAGCTTTGACCTTTCAGCGAGGTATTTTGTGATTTGTACAAAAGAATTAATTCTTACTAATTAGCTACTAGTGGATGTTCCAAGATAGGAAAATTCATGTGTCTATGGGTAAAGCGCATGGACGTTAAAACCTGATTTATAGATTGTCTTCCTTTCGTAGGAGATGAACAATGCTGTTTATAGATTCCCGTACGGGAATCTATAAATGGCACTACGATTTTCGTATTGTTCATCTTTTACAGGAGGAAGAAAGGCAATCTATAAATCAGGCTTAAAAAATGTACATTGAATAGATAGATTTATAGATTGTCTTCCTTCCTTCCTCCCGTAAAAGATGAACTATACGGAAACTGCAGTGCTGTTTATAGATTAGGGTACGGAAATCTATAAACACCTCTACGGTTTTCGTATTGTTCAGATTTTACGGGAGGAAGTAAGGAAGGCAATCTATTTATCAGGCTTTAAGGCTTTTGGCCACCTAGGAAGAAGAAGAAGAAAGCTTTTGTTATGTCTATAATATATAGACTCTATATGTAGATAAACAAGTTATCCTTTTTCTATGTTCATATCGAGGGGGGTAACAACTGCTGGCAATACATGTACAAATTGTGATGCATTACCCCGCATTACGGCGGCATTCCTGGCATTACATGACATTACCGGCATTATTTTGGCATTCCGCAGTATTACGCTGGCATTAGGCGGCATTATATTGCATTACTTACAAATTTCACGGCATTACGTACGAATTACGGCATTACGCTCGTATTTTATGGCATTAAGGTTGAATTTTGTGGTTGTGAATTGACAGTGTTTGTTTAGAAGTAAGTTAGACAGTTGGATATTTAAATTTAAGCTCGAGGTTCTACTCCTATTAAGGAATTTGTCCGTTCTAATATCACTTTTATCTTTGGAATGACATATATTCCGTAAAGTGTTCCAATTAAATTATTTTTCTATGGTATTTTTTGGAAACGTAAAAAAAGTATAGTCTGAAACACGTTTGGATAGGCATATTTCGCTCTCGTGAAACCGTCAAACTCGCCATCGGCTCGTGTGACAAACTCTTCACTCGAGCGGAATATGCTGTATTCCAAACTTGTTACAGAATATACTATTATAGGTATTTTTAATTTTACTAAGATATTTAGTTTTTGCTCATCATTTAGAACATTTGCTAAGAAATTACCCCAAGAACCAGTTCTCCTTAAAACACAAACTTTGTCTTTTGAAGCATTTTTTTCTCAATAATTTCCTGAAATTTTTTAAGAAGCGTTTCTACCCAGGATGAAGTGTATTTTTATTTAACGAGAACTTAATGTAGACGCTGTTCACGTGATTGACGAAAACAAGGCCGTATTAAAAGCTAAATATCCATAGGGGCCTAAGATTTTTGTATTTTAAATCGAAAATTGGCATTTCTGCTTTAAATAATTTTAGATTATAAGATTTCATGACATTTGTCATTTTGACAAATTCTTTAAAAAATTAAATCAAATCGTATTAAATTACAGTAAAACCTGACTTTAACATTAAAATTAATTATAATTAATTATAATTTTTAAGAAAAAATGCATTTTTCTCCCAATATTTTTAAACTTAACTCTTCTGGAGCTGGGTGGTAATATTATGGCTTATGCATAATTATGTGTACATATTAGTTTTTATTTCCTGCGAGCTTAGGTACTAATTCTTTTCGCACTTTTTCGTCAACATATTGGCAATCGTTGACAATTGAGCAAGAAAAGAAATTTTTGTAATTTTTGCAAAATTTAATAGAATTTAGTTGTCCTTGTTTGAGTTCTTGCTAATTTTAATATTTTCCAGCTATTTCAGTCCATATTAAATCAACCGAAACTCGAAATCAACCAAAAAATGGATAATTTTTTCCCTTACCAACTTTGATTTTGATGATTTTTGGTAAATTTGTTTTATAAAAACCCAATTTTTTTTTCTTCGATGACGTGTTTTTGTTTTATTAATTTTTGAAAATCGAAAAATTGCCGATTTGGGTCTTGTACAAAAATAGCAATAGGTATCTCAAAAATTGAATTATTTTTCAAAGGATTCAATTCCTTTATAGTAATTCAATGCTGTATGCTGCAATAAAATATAGTTTTCTTAAAAAAATAAAAAAGGCATTTTTGACATATTTTTTTTTCTCAAAATGATGAAAAAATTAGTCTATGTGATATATCATAAAAAGGCCCCTAAAAGACCTTTAAAACAGGACCCACCTTTTACTTTAAATAGTATTTGACATATTGCATTTTTTTGATTTTTAACAAACTTGTTATTAAAAAAAATGGATTTTTGAGTTTTTTAATGATTAAAACAAATTTACCAAAAATAATCAAAATCGGAGATGGTGAGGAAAAAGCCTTCGGGTGATTTGATATGGACTGACCCAGCTATTTAGGGTTAAGTGGAAGAATTATCCATGATCAAACTTCGCCCTTTTGTATTACTTTTTTTGTCAAATAAAGTCGTTTTATTATTATTATTATTATTTTTGTCCCTTGTTTTATAGTTTATTTGATCTTTTAGAATGTCTTCATCAGAAAAAGAATTAATATTAGTAAAGTTCAACTACCTGGTTTTCAGTTACCAGTTTACATGTAAAAAAACCTTATGATTTCCACTGGTTATGAAAACCTATATTCGATATCAAAAATCACCGATATTCATATTGAAAATATAAATTTATTTGCAAGAAATTACCTTTTTGAACAGACGAGAAAGTACTTGTATACGGAATGTATTTAAAAAAACCGACTGAACCAATAAAAATCATCGGAACAGGACCATTTCAACTATCAAGACCCGATAAATTAACAATTATTAAACTTTACAAAGATGTTAAGAAAAATAGGTTTAACTGAAAATATGATCGACTAAAATGTTTATTCGCGTGAACAAATAGTTTAACAATATGTTTTAGTTGTAGGTACCTATATATGTGTATGTTTGTATATATGTGATAAGAGAAAATAATAAATATGTCCAAACTGTATATTATATTTGGTTTCATATAAATATTCTGTGAAGATAATGCGTTCCCTTCATGGATGTTGCCACAATATGTTATCATAATATAACAATTATGCATTCTTTTTTATTTTGTTAAGAATGGTCAAGATTTCTTTTATTTTTATATTGTAAAATGTATGTATGAGTAAATATGGAATTACTGGCATTACACTGGAATTACTGGTATTACACTGGAATTACTGGTATTACACTCCCTGCTGAAAAAAACTGATCGAAAATGGATCGAGTTTAAATCTCGATCCTTTTTGATCATTTTTGATAAGGATTTTGTCTCCTGTTTTCGTGATCAAAAAGGATCGAGTTTCGATCCTGTTTTCTGGATCAAATAGGATCGAGTTTCGATCCTTTTTGATCACGAAAACAGGATCGAAACTCGATCCTTTTTGATCACGAAAACAGGATCGAAACTCGATCCTTTTTGATAAGGATTTTGTCTCCTGTTTTCGTGATCAAAAAGGATCGAGTTTCGATCCTGTTTTCTGGATCAAATAGGATCGAGTTTCGATCCTTTTTGATCACGAAAACAGGATCGAAACTCGATCCTTTTTCGATCATTTTTCGATCATTTTTCATAAGGTTTCCATAATTAATTCTAAAATAAAAGATACAATTTACAAAACTTGAAAACTTTATTGGGCACTTTGTATTTCAAAAAAATCGGATGACCACGACGATGATGATGAAATTCGTAATTATAATAATAACAGTCATATATTTTATAAAATAATATTCACAACAATAATTCCGTGGTTTCGGGGAATAAGGGGATAAGTCATTTTTGGGTCTCTCTTTTCAGACTACTGTCATAAGGTAAGAGTATGAAAAGTTGTATATAGTACTACTTTTACTTATTATGGAAACCTTATGAAAAATGATCGAAAAAGGATCGAGTTTCGATCCTGATTTCGTGCTCAAAAAGGATCGAGTTTCGATCCTGTTTTTATGATTAAATAGGATCGAGGTTCGATATCGTTTTTAATCACGAAAACAGGATTGAAACTCGATCCTTTTTCGATCATTTTTCATAAGGTTTCCATTATTAATTCTAAAATAAAAGATACAATTTACAAAACATGAAAAATTTATTGGACATTTTCGTTTTCAAAAATATCAGATGACGATGGTGATGAAATTTTTATCCTTTTTCTAAAACAAAAAAAAGTGTCCCTTTAGGGAATATATTTATATTACTATTTTAATATTGTCAAAATAATCTTGCAAATTTTCATTCATACCTTTTTTCCTTGGGCGATTTTTGGATTTGTATTTTCGTTTTGATTTAGCTCATATATTGTGGCGTACTTTTTTTCTCGCACGCCAATGTTGTATCAAATTTTAACAATTTTATTTTTCAAAAATAGGGCTTTCATATGAAAGGATGTATACAAAATTATGATTAATTTTTATCATTTTCATAGAAGATATGACGAAAAAACGTTTTTTCTTTGTCAACTTATGTGTGATATTTTTCTGAATCAGGATAATGGGAGGAACATTTTTCCCTGGTAGGTTAAAACTGAATCACCCTGTATAACTATATACAAGACTAAAAATTAATTATTTACTTGCAAAAAAAGAAACAACGCATTGCGCAGTTGCTCCCTCACGTTCAATAAAGTATTTCTTGTTTCGAGAGAAAGTTTTTGCATCGAAATTTGAAATTTCCGACAGCAACACCCTTTTTTTATGCCCCGTGTCGCAAAATTTAACAAAAGCACATGGTCCATCAGCGGTTAAATTAATTGACATCTTGCTATCTTGCTGTCTTTAAATTTACCTATAACAAATAAATTCATAGTAAAATTTGTATACATAACCTTACTTTTCAGGGGCCGAAAAAACAAAATTCATAAAAAATTGCCGCAACTCGGGAATCATAAGTTTTTTTTGTTTGATGGCAATCAGTACTTTTCATCGAATTTTTAATTATTATAGTAAAGAAAAACCCACAGTAAAACCGTAAAATCGATAACAAAAAACACTAACCAACATGACAAGCACGTGCACAGATTATAGACACATTACAGACAGGGTTGCCAGATGATATTTTTTTATTTCCCCAGATTTTTTACAAAAAAATCCCTAGATTTCCCTAGACAAGTATGTCAAGATTTTATTTTATTGGAACTTTTTTAATTTAAATATATCGATGGCTTAGGCGCAATACCTCGTATCATTAATTAATCATCATAAGGTAGCGCATGAAAAGTAGTACATAATACTACTTTTTCTTATAATAAGGAAATGTAATTATAATTACGAATTTCATCATCATCATCGTTGTCATCCGATCTTTTTGAAAGTGCCCAATAAAGTTTTCATGTTTTGAAAATTGTATCTTTTATTTTAGAATTAATTATGGAAACATTATGGAAAATGATCGAAAAAGGATCGAGTTTCGATCCTGTTTTCGTTATCAAAAAGGATCGAAACTCGATCCTATTTGATCATGAAAACAGGATCGAAACGATCCTTTTTGACCACGAAAACCTTATCAAAAATGTTCGAAAAAGGATCGAAACTCGATCGTGTTTTTATGATCAAATAGGATCGACTTCGAAATCTGATCGAGAATGATAAAAAAGGATCGAGAATTTCAAGAACCTAGTAGTCGATCATATTTGATCATGAAAACACGATCGAGTTTCGATAATATGTTATCAAAACTCAATCGTGTTTTCATGATCAAATAGGATCGACTTCGAAATCTGATCAAATATGATAAAAAAGGATCGAAACTCGATCGTGTTTTTATGATCAAATAGGATCGACTGCGAAATCTGATCGAAAATGATAAAAAAGGATCGAGAATTTCTAGAACCTCATTAAATATGATAAAAAAGGATCGAGAATTTTCTGGACCATGATCAAATATGATAAAAAAAGATCGAGTTTCGATCAGTTTTTTTCAGCAGGGCTGGAATTACTGGCAGTACACTGGAATTACTGGCATTATACTGGAATTACTGGCATTACACTGGAATTACTGACATTACACTGGTATTACTGGTATTACTATAAAAAAAGGCACGTAATGCGCAATACATGTACAAATTTTGGTTCAGTTGTTACCCCCTCGGTTCATATAGATGCGAATTTGCGAATTTACGAATTTGCGAAATACGAATATTCGCATTTCGCAGCTCCTATTCATATAGATGCGAATTGTCGGAACCATTTTAGGGACATTGTTTTCTCACTAGGCGATATTTGCCATGGTATTTTAGGGACATTATTTTCTCTCCAGGTGATATTTGCCATACTTGGTTAACATTTTCTATAGGTAGGTAGGTACTTCTAAAAAAATATGCTACTATAAGGTAAAATAAGAAACTAATGTACCTCCAAAAACTCTTTGTCAATTATAAAGAACAAAAAACAACTTTAGCAAGAAACATTTCAAATAAAACTCAACAACGATGCAATACAAATGAAAATAAACACAGAACATAAACAAAAAATGGCGCGGGGTACATATAACAAATACGTATAATAGGCATCTGCATTAATGCGCATGCGCATCAACGCCCAAATTCGTGCGATTTTCGCAAAATATTGGATCAATCTCAAGATTCCCGCCCCCCAGATTTCAAATCTTGCGAATTCGCAGAATCTGTCGAAACGTCGAAACACTTTTTCCCGCCAAATCAAATGGACCAATGAAAACATTTTCGCATTTCGCAAATTCGCATGTCGCATCTATATGAACTAGTCTTAGAAGACTTTTTCTATGGTTTACGCGTATACGATTTTTATCTATGATTTTGACTTTTTCATTATGGTTTTCAAATGTGCTGTAGTTAATTGTAGAAATACTAATAAAGAGGCAATTCTACACTCTTTTCCTAAAGATCCTGAGGTATGTTTAATGTTTACTTTTAAATTAACAAACAATCATATATTTTCGAGGTTAGTTCTTAATTTTTAATGGCTCAAAATATGTATAGTAGAAACCGTCAATATATGAACGTGACTCATCCTGTGCCGAACATATCTCAGACATGCTAGCAGTAATGTTTTACTTGTCTTGTACATTCGATGCAGCGGTAAATGTACTCACACGTAGGTTTTTAAGCATCCGGTCTAAAATGCGCCATCTGTGATGTAAAAACTGCCTAGGTGTTGGACAAAGATGGACATATGACGCTTGTGTCCTAGCTTGTTACTTAATTTTATTGGAAGTCAGTAGAGTTCGTGTTTTAGGAATTTATTTTATTTTATTACATAGTAAGGCAACCAACTTTACCGTCGGCCATTTGTTTTTATATGTCATATGATCTTTGTTTTTGCATATCTTTGTTTCTACTGTGTGTTTACGGATTAATAATCGTTTTAAAACGTTGTAGTGGCAGTGGTTTATATTATGTAACACAGGTAGATGTCGTATAAAAATCCTTACCTAGAAATTCTAGGCTAGAATACAAAAATATTTTTATTATACATATAATTTTGTACTAGTATTAGTTTAATACATTCTGAAGAAGCTACTGTGTAGCGAAACAATTGTCAATATTTAATAAATTTCGTGAAACTAACGCAAGTTGTTTTTTATATCCACACAATTTAAATATCTTTCACTTTGTACCTGACCTGCGTAAACATTTTTGTTTTTTGTCACCAATTCTGAAATATTTGCGTTTACAGTTAAAAGAATAGTATATTCTGTAACAAGTTTGACGGTTTCACGAGAGGGGAATATGCAATTCCAAACGTGTTTCAGACTATACTAAGAATTTAATTGGAAGAAAGTGAGGTTGGGTCGGTCCTAAAAATTTGTTATTAAAATCAGAGATGTCGCCACGAGTGTACGTTCTGTAATCAGATGATAGAATATTTCATTAAAGTTAAAAGAAAAGTTTATTTATTAATTAGTTTCTAAGGAAAATTACATTTTATTTAATTATCGTAGATGTTAATTATGTTAGATGTTAATTATTTAACTTTAATTTAGCAAATATATCATAAGTATAGCAACCAACATTACACTCAATTTTTTTTACAAACGAGACTGCACTGGACCGTGACCTTCGATAGATTGCTTCGTACGAATGTGTCGGATGAGTCACGTTCATATATTGACGGTTTTTTTGTAGGTAGTAAAGTCCACTGAACGTAGAAAAATTCAGAACGCACTCTGATATGTGCTACTAAGTTTGGCTGATTCTATTTGATATTGTTATTTTACTAGAAAAATCAGGATTATTATTTTTCCTGTTTTACAGCTATTCAACATGTGGGTTGAAGCAATCCAAAGGAAAGACATCACTATGTCTAGGAGGATAACATCAAAGGTGTGTGATCTTCATTTTTCAGATAAAATGAAATTTGCCACAAATCGAAATAGAACCAATATTAGGGCAAATGCATTTCCAGACCTACGATTGCCAGGTAATAATTACATATACATACATCCATATTCAGTTTACTGTAATATAAATTTAACTCTACAGTTTTATTTTATTTTTTATTAATAATTCAGTTAAATTAGAGAAAAGTTGCATAATTAAAAGTCTTAAAATTGAAAAAAAACTGTTTCTCAAATTATTTGGATAAAACTGAAAATCTGCACCCTGTATTGCTTTAATTGCCCATTATGTAAAACTAAACTTTAATAGTTTAATTTTCTTACAGTAAATAATATGATGGAAGAGGAGGAGGTCCATTTATTCGATGACTTTGTCACTGAAGACAGTATTTACCTCATAAACTCTGAGGGTGTAGAAAAGGACAACCAATCACTTTTAGACCCTTTGAATACCATTAATAAAGTACAAAGTCCTATTGAACCAAAAAATACTGGAAATTATGAAGAACTTAAAAATGATTGTTGTGTTGAGTGAGTATTTTAAATTTATAAAATTTATTATTACAAAATATTTATAAAACCTACCTTTGGGTTTGAAACATTAAAATAATAAAATAAAAAGTTTTTGGTAAAAACACAAACCACCATTTTTGTGCCTGTATAATTTTAATTTTAGGACTGCAGTTGATGAAAGTTGTAAAGAAAGTGAAGCAACTGATACAGATGTTGATGATGATGATGATGATGAGGATTCATCCACTTCTGAAAATAAGGAAAAAAACAATGAGGTTAGAAGATCCACAAGAAGTAAAAAAAAAATTGTCACAATGTAAGTAATTTTTATCCTGCTTTTATTATATTTAAAATTAGGTATTGTGAGACCAAACAAAAATCATAATTTTGTATGCTTTTTAAATTATGTTTGCAAAAATTAACTGCCATATTTTCTACAAAGAACTATAGATTTAAAAATAATTTAAATTTTAAAGAAAAAACTATACAAAATGTGGTGTGGGTTTGTAACTAATACAATTCACAATTGATTTTGTTTTCCAAAGAGTTTTTTACACAACATTAACAACTTCATAAAATAAAAAACACCATATTTCAAGCAACCTATAGGTACTACACTTTTTTATAACTGAAGCTAGATATTTAATTATACCTACATACTCTCAATTTAGAGTTGATGGTGATAGCGATGAAGAACGTGACTTTTCTGCCGATGAAGATTCATCGTACACTCCTGAAGATGAAGAAGATACAGGAAAAAGATATAATCGACGAATTAAATCAGGGTGAGTGTTTTTTTTAACGTCCCTATCCTTGTAGGTACATTTCAGTAAAAATTTCGGTCACATCAAACGCCCAAAAAGTATTCCCTTGAGAGAAAACGCAAAAATATTATTTAATGGTAAATTTTACCAAATATCATTCCTCTGATATGTTCCCAATACGTTTATGTACTTAATTGATAAAACATGGTGTATTGTCTCATCATTCCTCTGGGAAATACAAACACATTTTTATGATAAAATATCTCTGAGAAAGTTTTTCTGGCAACAAAATACGAGGTCATAAAATTAAAATATTGAGCACAGAACATATAAAATTGTGTAAAATATCATTTCCCTGGTATTAACATACGTACATATATTTTCGCCACAAATATTTTTACAAATAATTTTAGATCTAAAATCAACGATAGTGACGAACAAAGTGACGATTCCGATCCTGGAGATGAAAGTGAAAAAATGCAATGCAATATCAAAGAAGAAGGTAGTGATAGTGACTTTTCTGAAGATGATAAAAATTCCCTACATAATGAAGATGAAGAAGATGATGATGAAGCCACGTTTGAGACGAAAATTGAAGTGGAAAATCATGGGGTTAAATATGATGATGAAGATGAATCAGGGTAAGTTATTAAACAAAATATATACAGGGCGTCCTAGAGGCCCTGAAAATATAAGCATAGTGACTTTTTTGGACATAAGTTTATGAAAAATGTTTTTGTAGGTCTGACAGTGAAGTTTTAAATAAAGAAGACACGAAAAATACTGTCGAAAAAAATAGTACTTCCGAAGTCAGAAAAAGGTAAGCGTTTTTTTATTTAAACTTAAACTAAGTCAAGGGTGAAAATGGATTTATTAGCCAAACCTTGCAGCTAAGGTTATAAATGCTTAAAACAAAACCTGTAGTGCCTCTATCATTCTTAAACAAGTTTTTTCTAATTTTTTCTCAAATTTGTTATTTGATTGAGTTATACATGCACAGTGAAATGCATAATTTCTCCACGATTTTAACGATAATATGTTCGTCAAAAATGTCAGCTCTGTGATCTTTAGAGCTGGTTTTTTGTTTTAGGAAGTCGATAAAAGACAACAAACACCGTTGTCTGCATTGTTCAAAAGCTTACACAAGAAGATCTACTTTAAAACAGCACATTCAGAACCATCATGGCGATCCCTTACAAAGAATTACATACAAATGTCCGCATTGCCCAAAGGCTTACACAAAAAAGACTGCTTTAAAATGTCACGTTCAAAACCATCATGGCGATCCCTCCCAAAGAAAAAAATACAAGTGTCCACATTGCGACAAACTGCTATCGAGTATGGGATGTATAACGACGCACATAAAATCACAACACATGTCGGTTACATACAGTTGTTCACATTGCTCGAAAAAGTATAAAACAAAGCATAACCTAAAATATCACGTCCGAGTCGAACACGGCGATCCCCTACAAAGGGAACGGTACAAGTGTGCGCAATGTCCGAAAGCTTTCACAAGAAATGATTGGTTAAAACTCCACGTTCAAAACCAACACGGCGATCCCCTTAAACAAATTAAATACAAATGTCCGCAATGCCAAAAAGATTTTTCGAGAAGAGTTTATTTAAATAAACACGTTGAAAACCAACACGGCGATCCCGTGGAAAGAATCAGATACCAATGCCCGCATTGCCCGAAAGCTTTAACAAAACGTTCTTATTTAAAACTCCACGTTGAAAGGCAACATGGCGATCCCCTGCTAAGAAAAAAGTTCAAGTGTCCGCACTGCCCGAAAACGTACTCGGTCGGGAAAACTTTAAACGACCACATGAAAGGCCAACACGGCAACTCCGCGCAAAGAAAAAAGTACGCGTGTCCGCATTGCGGCATAGTACTCCTAAATGGATCGGCTAAACTCGCGCACATCCGGTTAAAACACGAGGGCTTCAGGGTCACTTGCCCGCATTGCCCGAAAACGTTCTCGCAAAAATACAAGTTAAATCAGCACCTCAAAAACAAACATGGCGATCCGAAAGAGCACAAGTGCGCACAGTGCGACAAAAAGTTCACAGAAAAAGACTACTTAACGCGACACGTTAAAGTAAAACATGAAGGATATAAATACGCGTGCGCACATTGCCCGAAAACCTATAAACATGAACAAATATATAAACAGCACGTCGAAAGCCAACACGGCGATCCCATGCAAAGGAAAAAGTACGACTGTTCGCAATGCGACAAAACTTTTTCTACCGTACAAAGTTTAAAACGTCACGTTCAAACGACACACAAAGGCTACAAATTCCGCTGCCCACATTGCCCACAAACGTACATTAACAAGGCAAACTTGGACAAGCACCTTCAAATCTTACATGGCGTGCAAAAAGAAAAATACAAATGTCCACTTTGCGACGAACAATTCTCCACTAGGCAAAGTAGAGGCGCGCACTTCGAACAAAAACACGACGGCCACCGTTACAAATGCCCACATTGCCCGAAAACTTTCAAAAGAAACGAGCAGTTGAAACTTCACCTCCAAGACCAGCACGAGAATGCCTTGCTGAGAAAAAAAATCAAATGTCCGCAGTGTGCGAAGAGTTTCCTAAGAAGAACCTACCTAATCCGGCATATTAAAATAAAGCACGGCGGTTTTAAATGCAAGTGTCCTCATTGCCCGAAAAAATTCACAAGAAGTGATGGTTTGAAACGGCATGTCCAAGATCAACATTCCGTAAAAAGAAAAAAATACAAATGTCCGCATTGCCGGAAAGCTTTGACAAGCAGGGCTAATTTAAACCACCACGTTCAAAACCAACATGGCGATGCACTAAAAAGAAAAAAAATCAATTGTCAGCATTGCGACAAAATTTTCCTAACGAAACACGGGTTGGCAGGGCACATGAAAATAGCACACGAATGTTAAATATTGACAGGTAAAAATTCCTTAAAACTCAAACATTCTGTTAAAAGGTCCTTATCAAGGTAGGATTTTTTTTGGTACAGTATACAGTACAGTATCATTATCAACCATAGTGATTGTCTTAAATTAATTATTAACTTTTTCTTAATTAATACCTAATTATGATTTTTATATAAAAACATGTACACCTCTAGAACTTTCTACAGTTTATTTTTTAAAGTATGGAGTCTTTACAATAATTTACCAAGTGATATAAAAATATGTGATAATTTAAAAATCTTTAAGAAAATGTTTATAAACTATGTTAAAACTAATTTTAAGAATATTTTATTTATTTTGTTAATATATAAAATTTGTATGAAAATAGCTATTGCCAAATAAAGTTATATTATTATTATTATTTTTATTAATTATAAATGATAATAGAACAAATCACAGAAGAGATTGTTATATGTAGAATGCCCCAAGTCACTTTTAAATTTAAATCTAATTAGAATTAAGGGCTCTCGTGTACGAGTTTTGGTTCGTGCCGCGCATGACGTCACTTGATGAGTAGTTGCCGTGCGAATACACGAATAATAGTAATATGGCCTTTTGATTGTTGTTATTTTTATAATTATGATAATCAATAAATAACTATTATTATTATTAGTAATATTATCAAAGAAAATAGAGAAATATCTGGACATAGTGCGTTTTTATTAAACTTAATATTGTAGAAAGTGTTATAATATGGATAATAGATGCTTTCAGTCCTTGATAACATTTAGGGCTGTAGTTTAAGCGTTGGTGTTTTAAATTAAACTTATAGTCACTGTCCAGAAAATGTTTATAGGAAACAGAAGCGGTCTTAACCTTAATATTGTCCATTATTTTTGTGGCATTTAACCACTGTTTCCACAAACGCTGTGACTGAGGCACGCTAACGTGCCGCGATTCGAAATGTTAAAGGCACGTTAGTTACTTCATAAACCCAAACCATCCCAAACTCAACAACACAACCCAACCGATCCCGCCCCATTGGCCCCCCCCGCCCCATTGAGCAAAAAACCCAACTAAAATGGGCAAATTTATGTTACGATAAAAATAAAACACTTTTTAACAAAGGAACAACAAATTTATGAAATAAAAAAAGTTCGACAACTTCTAGTAGATTTTATGTTACGATAAAACTAAAACAAACCAACCGAACACTGTTTAACAAAGAAACAACAAATTTATGAAATAAAAAAATAAAAAAAGTTTGACAACTTCTTAGTATCGAACCCGGGACCTGTCGCATGCCAAGCGACCGCAAATCAAATCAAAAACATTTATTTAACATATAAAATATCACAGCTATCATATCTAGATAGTACAGAATAACAGTTTACATAGTAGCACAAAGGTCAATATCAAGTCCGACCGCGCTGGAAAGGACGGCTGTTCAATACCCGCGTGAAAAGAACAAGGATAGAACGCCAAATAGAATTTGATTGGCCAGAGCCGGATGCATGCGAATTGTAAGCGAGGTCAACTCTGGCAGCCACTCTGGCTGCATTTAGACTAAATGATTTATTTGTTATATGATGATTTAGTGTTAAGCAAACTGCGTTAGAGTGTAGATGCACATTTTAGTTTTCTTTTTAAATATTTTATACCCGAATCCTAAAAATGAAATTTTTTGATTTTTTTCCTTGAGAACTAGGGCAACAACAAAAATAGTATTCTTAATAAAAAAGATTTCTCAAATAAAAAATAATTCTGAATAAAAATAACTATAAATAAAAATAAAACTCTAAATAAAAATAAAACTCTAAAAATATAAATATATAAGATGATTTGTCGGCCACTGCTAGATTATGGTTCCATCATCTTCCAAAACTGCAGAAGTCCAACCCTGAGGAATCTGGAGAAAGCTGAAACAATTAGCCTTCGACACTTAACCAAGATTAGACATCCACAAAATCCATTGCACAACCCTTCAAATTTGCTCCTATATGAAATAACCAACCTTATAACAATTACAGAGAGATCACGGAAACTGTCTGAGAAATTCAGCAATACAACCTCAAATTTGGATATTATTGAACCCTTCATTTTCCCAGACTCAGAAGGTAATCCAATAAAAAGAAAATTCCCAAAGAAGACCCTATGGAAAGTTATCTTAGATTTTCAAATCCATTAAATAATGTTTGTTTTTTTTTATATATAATTATGTCAAATAATTTTTTACCAAATTAATTGTTAATATATAAATGTATTTATATGGGCAGAAAGACCTCGGTCATTAGCCTTTTGGTTTATTCCAATAAAGATATTTACTACTACTATAAATAATAAAAATAAATAAACTCAAAAATTAAATTAAATGTTCGAACAAGCCCCCATAGGCAGCCAAACAATAGCCTAACCTATTATAAAAATTCCCACGCACTAGCTAGGACTTCTGGACTAATATCCCCCAACAAATTAGTTATGCGGATTCCTAAATCATTGAGGTTATTAGCCCGATCTTCCTGGAAAACGTACAGCTTCGACTTGAGGTACCCCCACAAAAAAAATCACACGGCGCCAAGTCCGGTGATCTAGCTGGCCAGAGAATTCCTCCTCGACCAATAAAAGACGAGGTCCAAAAGTGTCGGAAAGGAATTCCCGAACAGCCATCGTATTATGTGCGGGGCAACCGTCTTGAAACCATACGTTTTCGATGTTAACTCCGTCTAAATTTTGAAGCGCGGGAACTATTTGGTCTCTTAAGAGATTTAAATACCTAGCGCCATTTAAATTCCCATTTATAAAAAATGGGCCAATTATTCGGTCGCCCAGACATTAAGTGTTTTTGGGGATACTGTGTCCGAGCTGCATAAATCCTACGAGGATTTTCTCGCGCCCACATTCGAACATTCTGCGAATTGTGCCTGCCATGGAGAGTAAATGTCGACTCGTCAGTAAATAAAATATTACCGATAAAATTTGGGTCGGCATTTGCTCTCTCCATAACAGCAAAATTCCATGCGGCGGAATGCATCGGCAGGGAATTGCTCGTTTTCCCCGTCGTAGCCCCGGCACCACTGCAGTTCTCGTTCTGGGCGGCTATTCTTGAAAATCATACGATCCGGTGTTTCTCTCGTACGATGGGTTCTATCCCGTGCGATCTATCGACTCCCACGGTCGAAATCGACCAATTCTTGAATCTACGAGTGAACGTTCAAAAGTATTGCGCTGTTGCCAGCATTATTTGATACAGAAGAACTACTGTTTAGGGATTTTTAACCTTTTTTTTGTATGGTCACTCATGATTTTTTGATAATTTGTTTTATAAATTATATTCGATATTCGATTATATTAATAATAATAAAAGCCTAGTGTGTGTTATACTAAATAAATAATTTTTGAATTTGAATAAAAATGCGTAAGTCACTTTTTACCCCTTCCAAAAGGAGTGCCCCCCACAAACGGCATTCAGAAAAATATGCTAATTGAATATATGGAACAAAACCCCAAACCTTTAGTCCTGATTTTACATTCAAAAATGCCCAAACACTCTGGGAAATAATTACTGTGAAATTAAACGCCGTACCAGGAGGTGCAAAAAAAGACGATTGGCGAATGTGGAGAAAGGTAAGCTTAGGAGGGATCTCGTTAACTATCGTAGAGCGTCCTACCACTTCAAGAGTCAAGACCCAACTGATGTGAACATTAAATTTTCTTCTATAACACTTTTTAATTTTATCAAAACCCCATTAAAAAGTCCTTTAAGAAAGACTATAAAACATCAAAACATTAAAACCTAAAAAATTTCCATTTTTAATAATTAATATCTTCAAAACTATCATCCCAAAGGTAATAATTATAATAACTATAATCTAGCTTACCTTCATTTTCGTTTGTCGTTATTTGATTTCATCTGTAAAAGCGTAAATAAAAAACATAGATGCAGTAAAACTCGCACTTTATTCAAATGAAAAAACAATTCATCTTGAAAGTCCAACTAAAAATAAAAAAATTCCACGTCAAAGGCTTAAATTATCTAAAAAAAATCATCTGCTCGAGCTGGAGCTCGACCTGCTGTGCTTCCTCCTGCGCGGGGGCGGGCTCCTCGAGTGCGGCCGCCTCCTCGGCGGGCTCCTGCGCTGCATCCTGTGCGGCGGCGAGCGCCTCCTGAACCTGGGCGGCGTGCGGCGGTGCATGGGCGGGCGCCGCATGTGCATCGGCGGAGGCGGCGAGCGCCGCGGCGGCTTCGGGCGCGGTTTCGGGATGAGCACGGGCGAAGCCGTCACCTAGAGACAGCCGTAAATGTATGTTCGTTTGTCGCCATTTTATGTTATTTTCGGTCATTTGAAAAGAATTTTGCAGGGTTTTTAAACAAAGGCGAATAACTAAAATTAACTGGGATTATTTTAAATTTCGGTGCTTTTTTTGTACTGGCTGGAAACGTATCGAAATATTTTGTTACCGGAAGAAACGCACTTTTGTTTTTATGCTACGCTTCAGTAGCAAACCCTGGAATTTTGCGGAGAATGGTTTTCACCATTTTTATGGTAAATTATCAAGATTTCCATGTGATGCGCAAGAAAGAATTACAGTTGATTACTTACAGGAAAGAATTGAAAGAAATTTAAAATAATCCAACAAGATTGTTGTAATTTAAGAACATTTTAGCTTTTTATGATTTAGTTTGTCTTCATTTCAGCTTGTTTTCATTTTAGTTTATCGTTATTTTAGCTTGTTATCATTTAGCTTATCGTCATTTTAGTTGGCCGTCTTTTTAGCTTGATATTATTTAGTCATTTTAGTTTTTTTCCATTTTAACTTCTTAACTTGTTATAATTTAGTTTGTCCTCATTTTAGCTTGTTTTTGCTATATACCTTGTTTTCATTTTAGTTTGTCGTTATTTTAACTATTTTTGGTTATAGTTTGTCGTCATTTCAGCTTGTTTCCATTTTAGTTTGTTGTCATTTTAACTTGTTATCATTTAGTTTATGTCATTTAAGCTTGTTTAATTTTAGTTTGTAAATGACAACTTGGCATCATTTTAACTTGTTTTTATCATAGTTTGTAGCCATTTTAACTTTTTAACTTGTCCTTTAGTTTTCGTCATTTTAGCTTGTCATTTCAACTTGGCGTAATTTTAACTTGTATTATAGGTTGTGGTCATTTTAGATTTTTATTTTTTAATTTTTCGTCATTTTAGATTGTTTTCGTTATAGTTTGACCATTTCAGTTTGTCTTCTTTTTAGCTACCTTTTGTTATTTTGTCATAGCTTGTTATTTTGTCATTTCAGCTTGTTTCGATTTTAGTTTGTTATCATTTAGTTTTCTAAATTTTAGCTTTTAATCATTTTAGTTTTTCATTTCAACTTGGCGTCATCTTAACTTGTTTTTATTATAGTTTGTCGTCATTTTATCTTTATAACTTGTTATCACTTAGTTTGTCATCATTTTAGCATGTTTTCATTCAAGTTTGTGGTTATTTTAGCTTCTTATAATTTGGATTGTCGTCATTTTAGCTTGTTTTCGTTAGTTGGTGTTTATTTTAGTTTGTTCTCATTTCAGCTAGTTTTGGGTTAAAGTTTGTGTAATTTCAGCTTGTTTTATTTTAGTTTGTAAATGACAACTTGTCATTTTAACTTGTTTTTATTATATTTTGTCGCTATTTTAACCTTTTAACTTGTTAATATTTAGTTTTTTGGTTATAGTTTGTAATCAATTCAGCTTTTTCCATTTTAGTTTGTTGTCATTTTACGTTGTTTACATTTGGTATTCGTCATTTTAGCTTGTTTCATTTTAGTTTGTAAATGACAACTTATTATAGTTTGTAGCCATTTTCACTTTTTAACTTGTTTACATTTAGTTTGACGACTTTTTAGCTAGTTTTGGTTATAGTTTGTGTCATTTTAGCTTGTTTACATTTTAGTTTGTTGTCATTTTAACTTGTTATAATTTAGTTTTCGTCATTTTAGCTTATTTCATTTTAGTTTGTAAATGACAACTTGGGGTCATTTTAACTTGTTTTTATTATAGTTTGTCGTCACTAACTTTATAGCTGGCTATCACTTAGTTTTTCATCATTTTAGCTTATTATTTAGTTTGGCATCATTTTAGCTTTTATTTGTTATGGTTTGTCTTTTTTTCGCTTGTTTTCGTTATAGGTTATCTTCGTTTTAGCTTGTTTTTATTTTAGTTTTTCGCCATTTCAGCTTTTTTTGATTTTAGTTTGTTGTCATCATACGGTTTACATTTGGTTTTCATTTTAGTTTGTAAATGACAACTTGGCGTCATTTTAACTCGTTTTTATTATAGTTTGTCGCAATTTTAACTTGTTTACATTTAGATTGTTGTCATTTTAGTTTGTCGCCTTTTTAGATGGTTTTGGGTTATAGTTTGTTATCATTTAGTTTTCGTCATTTTAGATTGTCATTTTAACTTGTTTTTATTAGTTTGTCGTCATTTAAATTTTTTAACTTGTTTACATTTCGTTTGTCATTTTAGCTTGTTTGTCGTCATTTTAGATTGTTTTCGTTATACCATTTTAGGTTGTAGTCTTTTTAGCTAGTTTTGGTTATTTTGTCATCATTTCAGCTTGTTTTCATTTTAGTTTGTCGTCTTTTAAGCTAGTTTTGGGTTAAAGATTGTGTAATTTCAGCTTGTTTTAATTATAGTTTATCGTAATTTCAACTTTTTAACTTGTGAATTTTAGTAGGACTAGAGAGCATGAACGAAAATTAATATGAATTAAAGAAAACTTTTGTTGTTGTGGCGCGAAAGAGTTATGCAGGAGAGTTAATATTAATATACACAATATATATTTTAATAAATTACCTCTTGGCCGTCAATTTGGCCTCCATCCATGTGGCGCATGGCGTTTTCCGCCTCTTCGGCAGAGGAAAACTCCACGTAGCACTGTCCACGGCCCAAGTGCATGTGGAAACGCTCCTTGGGGAACTCCACGTTCTTAATTGTCCCATATGTACCTGCGTGAAGTGTTTAGTGTTAAAGTGCATCTAAAGTCTATTCATTTAACAGACGGTCTACGACAACCGGTACTCACCGAATATCTCCACAATGTGCTCCCTGTTCACAGTTCTGGTCAACTTGTTGATGAAAATCTTCGTGGGCTTCGGCGTGGGCGAGCGGCGCCTGCGCTTTTGGCGGTCCGACCGAGATCTCGACCGACGCGAATTGTTTTTGTCGTCGTTTCTCGAGCGGTCGGCCGACGCGACGCGATTGCTCTTCTCGTCTTTTTCGTCCTTCTTCACGTCGGTTTTGTCCTTGTCCTTGTCGTCTGCCTTCTTGTCCTTGTTTTCGCGCTCCTTGTCCTTCTTGTCTTTGCTGTCCTTGCTGTCTTTGTTCGATTTCGCGTCGGTTTTGGGTCTGAACAACGATATTTTTAGTTGTGTGTCAACACGTCATGCAGCATTAACAAATTTTCAAATTGGTTCGAAAAAAGCGTTTGGCAAATCCAAATTTTTTTAAAATATTAAAAATCTCTAAAATCTTTATTTTTTACAATTTTCAGATTTTCAAAATTTTGAATTCTTCAAAGGCTTCAAAAATTGTAAAATTTTCAAAACGATTTTGTCAAATTTTACATTTTGAAATTTTCAAAACGATTTTTTAAAATCTTCAAAACTTCTGCTTTTTCCAAATTTTCATATTTATCAAGATTTTCATAAAATGGGTATTTAAAATTTTACAAAATCTTCAAATTTTTTAGAATTTTCACATTTTTTTCAGTTTACAAAATTGTCAAATTTTTTAAGACTTTTAAAATATTGAATTATCCTCTTTTACAATTTTCAGATCATTCAAAATTTACAAATTGTTACTTTCAAATTATTTAAAATTTGGATGATTATAATGTAGGTAGGTACTCTTAAAAAATTTTAAAGGCTTTAAAAATTGTAAATTTTTTAATATATTCTAAATTATCGAAATTTTTAAAATATACAATATTTTGAAATTTTTTAAACTTATTTTACGATTTTTCAAAATCTTCAAAACTTGATTTTTCTAAATTTCCCAAATTGCTCAAATTTACAAGATTTCTATAAAATAGCTAAATTGGTAATATAACCTATTTAAAATTTTTTAATTTTCCCAAAATCTTAGATTTTTCAAAACTTACAAAATTGTCAATTTTTTAAGATTTTCAAAACATAGGTAAATCTTAAAAAAAAAATACAAAATTCTAAATATTCCTTTTTGCTATTCTCCAAAGTCGTCAATTTTTTTACAATTTTTAATCTTTCCAAAATTGTCAAACTTATTTAGATTCAAAATACAGATTTTCAAAATGTTCAAAATTTGTTTAATTTTTTTTTACAATTTTTAGACTATCCAAAATTTAAGATTATTTAAAATATAGATTTTTAAAATGTTCAAAATTTTAAAATTCTCCAACGGCTTCAAAAATTGTTGAAATTTTAAAATTGTTAAATTTTACAAGATTTTCATAATTAAAACTTCTGATTTTTCTTAATTTCCCAAATTGTCAAATTTTCCAAGGTGTTCATAACATGGGTATTTAAAATTTTAAATTTCTCAAAATTTTTAGTTTCTTCAGTTTACAAAATTGTTAATTTTTATAAAATTTTCAAAATATTGAAATTCTCCAAATTCAGATAATTCAATATTTCCAAAATTGTCACTTTCAGATAATCTAAAATATGGATTTTTAAAATGTTCAAAATTTTGAAAATTATAAAATTTTCAAAATTGTCAAATTTTACAAGATTTTCATAATATTTAAAATTATCGAAAATTTCAAAACTTAATTTTACGATTTTTCCAAATCTTCAAAACTGATTTTCTCAATTTCCTAAATTGTCAAAATTTTCATATAATGGCTATTCAAAATATTGAAATTCTCCAAAATCTTCAAATTTTGTACAAATTTCTAAAATTGTCAAACTTTTAGATTATTTAAAATATAGATCTTTAAAATTTAAAATTCTCCAAATTCTCAAATTTTACAAAATTTTCTAAAAATAGTTATTTAAAATTTTTAAATTTTCCAAAATCTTCAAATCTTACAGAATTTTCAAAATTGTCAAATTTCTTAAGGTTTTCAAAGGATTTTAAAATCCCCAAAATCTAAATTTCTAAAATAGTCCATAATTTAAAGCTAACAAAATTGTTCAGTTTTTCAACCTTTTTTAATTTTTAAACACAATAAAAAAATTTAAATTGACAAATTTTCCAAGATTTTGACATAAACATAATTCAGTATACAGTGTGTCTACTTAAGTTGGCAACATATGGGAAACTTTTTTATTATTAATTTTAAGAAAAAAAGTTATTCCTCATAAAAAGTTCTGCATGTTCTAAAATCTAAAATACAATTATCAGATATAAAAAAATTTCAGTCGTATACGCGGTTTGTCAAAAAATATGAATCTTTCTCAATAGTAAAGTACCTATATATTTGACAATATCGAAAATTCTTATTAAAAAAAGTTGATCAGAACTAAAACCTACGTTCAAAATTTGAACTTCAAATATGCAATTACTTCCATTTATATGGAAAAATCATGTTTTTTTTTGTTTACAATAACAATGCAAATATAACTGTAGTTGGGTCGTTTTCAAAAAACACCCGCGTTCCGCTGTCCGTAAGTTTGAATTCCAATTAAAAATTATCGGATCTTATTAACCAAGTGAAAGCCTAACAAGCCCTTAGTAAACTCTTTCAGAAAATGTTTTTTTAGTTATTTCAGAATAATTTTTTTTTAATTTTGAAACTTGTGAAACACACATTTTTGCATGTCCCATAAGCGTTTTATAAAACTTACATACATGTTTTTTTAATATTGAATAACCAGAACTTTGTGTTGCTTTATAGCAATCCATAACATCCATAGTTAATACAGTAAACAATGTATACCGTACCTTCATTTGCAAGCTAACCATAGGGAAAATACATTGTAACTGGACCAGATAAGTCGCAGTCAACACAAAGCGAGAACCTTTTCAGAAATGATTTGGATGCGTCGTCCAGACATGCGTACTAAAACAAATTTTACCAGATTTACACCGCACAAAATAAAAAACAATAATAAAGCATCGATGTATGAAGCAAGGTCAACTGTTACGGCGCATGCTAGCCTACTCGTCCACGCGTCCAAATCATTCCTACAACGTTTTTCGCTTCGTGCTGACTAAGACTTATCTGGTCCAGTTACAATGTATTTTCCCTATGGTTAGCTTGCAAATGAAGGTACGGTATATAAAATAATTAATTTTAATCCCTTTTTTAAATTTGACTCATGTCTTTTTTCCGTTGCGTTACGTCCGTCGCGTTACCGATAGAATATTTAAAAAAACATATATATGGCAACTTTTTGGCACTCACGTGATCAACAAATGATGTTCGGACGTACACATTACCCAGCTGAATTTATTTATTCAATCTGGAAGAAGATATCGGTTGAAACAGGAGAGGGTAACGCGAATGTAATAATTGTTTGTCCGCTAAGTTACTCAAAAAAATAATAAAAATAAGGTAAGAAAAAATACTATTTTTCATGTATATGTTTATTTTAGGGCACTAAAGCTCATTGAGAGTAATAAATAACTGTAATGTCTTATTATTATTTTTTAAATATGGTTTCACAAACCTTTTACCACTGCGTTACCGAGTCCATTATGTTACCTTATGTTAACGCAATAGAATTTTTCGACAACAAAGTGGATATTTACCGTCGCTTTTATTAAAAGTAGTTTATGATAAACCAATTTAAAATTATTTGTGAATACAACTCATGATATAGATTACATCCAAGGGAAAATTCCACGCAATATACAAGTACTAAAAGGGACCTTCACCAGCTTATAGTCAAAGAAAAAGGGTGTCTACAATTTAGAAATCTAAGTTGTTATTCTGCAAGTGAGCACCTCTACAAGGGATTTTGTTTATGCATTACTCTAAAATCGTACCACCCTTTATAGTTTCTTTTTTACGTTTTCTGATTAAGTCCTTTGTGTACTCCAGTCCGTTGTGATACCAATGTCTATTTTGTTACTTTTTTTTGTTAAAATGATTTTTATACACTATCACTTGGTAATACGTGTTTATAAATTAGAGTTTAACTCCCTGATAGAGTGACTAAAAGAAAATATTAATGGTATTGTTTTTTTAACAAAGAATCGGAATGGTTTCTTTTAAAAAGTAACTTAACAAACATACATACCTATTTAAAAAAAGCATACAATTTTTAATAAAAAATAAAATAAAAAATTGGAGTCAGAAGTTTGTAAACTAAGTACATTTTATTTGAAATTATTTTTATAATAACTTTTTTATTGAATTAAATTTTGGATTTCAAATTGGTAACACAGTGGAGATATATAAAGCTAGCTAAACACATTTTTCTGAAAAAAACGTAAAAAAAAATTAAAAAGTGCACTGCCTGTCTTAAATGTAAGTAAACAAAACTCTACACATTTATAAAAATCCAACCAAAAGTCAATTTAAGCAAAAAAAAATTTTGATCTTCATTTTCCTGAAAGCAGGTGTTTCTTGAAAATGACCCAGTTACATGTAATCTAGGATGCACTGACAAACAAATGTTTTGTTGATAGCAAGAAATGTTTGACATTGAATGTCAGAACATCAGAATTTGCTTATTACTTTCTGAACGGAAGGAAAAGGTTAATATCATTTTTGTAATAAAAGATAAATGTTCAGTATCGGTAACTTGAGAAAAATTTTAAGTAGGAGGATGTAATTGCATACTAAAACATAGTTTTTCATTCTGAACAACTTTTCATAATTACATTTTTCAATATTGTCACAAATACTTTACTCTTGTACCAAGTTTATATATTTTGTCAAACCTCATCATATATGAAAAAATTTGATATCTGAAAATTTTATTTTAGAATTTAAAACATGCAGAACTTTTTATAAAGAATAACTTTTCTTCGTAAAATTAATAATAAGAAAGTTTCCCATATGTTGCCAACTTAAGTAGACACACTGTATAAAATTGTTTAAAATCCTAAAACAAGTAGATACATATTAAAAGTTTGTGATCTTGTGTGTTGAACCTTTTATTCTTTCAGTTGGGCTATTTAATTGTATACCGGGTTTATAAACTAGATACAAATTTCGTTTGGTATGTTTTTGTTAAAGATGTTCGAATTTTAAAATACAATCTTACCTTTTTGGTCTGGATCTTTCCTTGCCACTGCTGGAACTGGACGAATCTGAAGTTGAGCTGGACGACCTTGAACTGGACCCAGAACTCGAAGAAGACGATGATCTGGAGCTTGACGAGCTACTATCCGAAGAACTAAACATTCAATAACAAAATAACCTCACTATAAGGCAGCTGGTTTCATAACCCGACAAAACCACAAAGAGCTTGTGGATTTGTCAGATTTTGAAACAAAATCAGGTTAAATATTGTAGAGTCAACTTGGGAAACCAAACGACTTAAGTGTTTTTTAATTACCTTCTACTGCTGTCGCTGCTACTTGAATCTGACTCGCTGCGTCTTTTGCGCTCTCTACCCCTTTCTTTCTTCTTATCCTTATCTTCAGGTTCGGATTCTGTGCCTGGTTTCGCCCTAAAACATACAAGTTACAACATAACCTCTCTTATTTGCATAATTCTTTTACAAAATGCACTTACATGTTTAACTTGGAAAAACAACGTCAACTATGGTTTAACACTAACAATTCTTCGATAATTTAACGTTATTTATGGTTTAAACGCAATTGATTCTATTTATTTTACTAAAAACTGACGCCAACACTCAACCGGTAACCAAACACTTCTGGTGACACATCGAATTCCCCTAGATATTTATTTTGATTCAAACAATATAAAACTAATGTATATATCTTTAAGACTTTTTTACCTGTAGGTAATTTTTATTTTAGACGTTTTAAGTAATTTTGCATGACTTTTAAAGTACAAAATATGGATTTTCTTTTACTTGCAATACCAACCTTAAGGAATTAATAAACCCTAGTAAAAGTGTCGTTCTCAGGTAAGTGGCAAGATACATGGGTAAGTGGTGTGCATATTGTCGGGAGATTTGAATTTTGTTTAAATGAGGGTGAATATTTCAACAGTGTAATTCAATCGGTTCTGGCTTGATATTTCAAAAGTTAATATCCCACTGAAAATAAAATACTTGATGTCTAGTTTAATTAACTATTTTTACTTTATTCCTTACCGTAAACACGGGTGGCTTTGGCTCACTTTCAAACTTCAGCTTAAAATTTTTGTGGTTTTAACAATCATAAACATTAAATTTTGTATACCAAAATTTGAGTCTTGAGTTGCTCTTTCATAATAACTAAGTTATAATATTACATAGGGCTGAGTTTCAAAAATAAACATTAAAAACTGGGTGTGCAAAGTTACCCCCTGGTTGCGGGTTACTTTGTCTCACAGTGTTTTTTTAGTATAAAATGAATGTAATATTATATTTTATTTTTATTAGACACGTATTAGCAGCGACATATATCTATTGCAAGGGATTACCAATTAAAAAAATAAAAAATCGACCTGTAGTTAACCAAGGATCATCATTCCAATGGATTGCGCATATTATAGAAATTGTAACGCGTGTATTTCTAAGAGTTTTGCACTGATACGATATATACAATTTTAAAGTGTAATAAATCCAATTTCTGTCTTTAAAACACTGATTTTCCTGTAATATAAACTCAACAGAATCGCTCAATTGACAGGTTTAGATCGATTGTGTTGATCAACAAATTATAAATGTTAATTTTATCGAGCGCGAAAAGATTTTTCATAAATGGGTTAAAGTCACCCGCGGGGTGCAAAGTCACCCGTATTTACGGTCAGAGCTGTCAGACAGCAGAAAGCTTAAGTCTTTTTTTTAACTTAAGTCATTTTTGTGACTTAAGTCATTTGATTTAAGTCTTTTTTTTTTTGGACGACTTGAGACTTAAGACTTAAGTCATTTTCAAAATGATTTGTATTATTAAGCTTTTTCTACATTTGCGTAAGGACTTAAGTCTTTTTAAAATGACTTAAAACAAAAAAATGACTTAAGTCTTTTTAAAATGACTTAAGTCTAAAAATGATTTAAATCTTTTTAAAATGACTTAAGTCTAAAAATGATTTAAATCTTTTTAAAATGACTTAAGTCAAAATAATGATTTAATTCTTTTTAAAATGACAAAATAGGTAAGAATTAAATTCTTCAAAAACTAAATAAATAATGATTTAATAATTTTTAAAATTACTATTTTGATGGTTTGAACGTTGCGTCGAGGTAAAATTGCATGTTAAAAAATTGTCTCTGCACGTTTAATAAATCATTTTGCACGTTGCACGTTTAATAAATCATTTTTTTAAAATTACAATAATTTTAGAAAATGCAGTTTTACTCAACTAACTTTAATTAAAGATAACATAAGTTTGGTTACAAATATAATAAATATGTTTTCACTAAAAAATCGTTTTATCCACCTAAAATAAGTAATTCATTTAAAAATAGCATATACTTTAATGATAATTAAAAAAATAATATTTGAAAAAGTACCTTTTTTACTGGTTACTTGAAATGGAAAAAATCACTTCAAGAAAGTTCAAATTTTACCTTCTCTACTAAATCAGTTATGAAACTTAAGAAATTTGTTATATGTTTTTAACATACCTTTATTAGTTTACTAATGAAAAAAATTTAAATTTACTCAAATATATTAATGTAGATTTTATAGGTTTTGGCCAGCTTTTTGGGCATTTCCAACACTGTGTGCCAGTACATTATTATATACAATACAATAATAATTGACTAATTAAGTGATCAACTTTTTGTTATGCACCTATTTAAAAAATAAATTTCATTAAAAGTCTTGTCAAAGAGTATCTATTAGATATATACTCTTTGATCTTGTTTTGAATCTCTCAAAATGAGTAAGGTATTTGTTTTTTTTTACTTAAATCTTTTTTTTTCGACTTAAACCTATAAAACGACTTAAATCTAAAAACGACTTAAGTATTTTTAGGGACTTAAGTCCCTAAAAATGACTTAAGTCTTTTTCTAGATTTAAGTCGTTATATATTTGATTTAAGTCATTTTTAATAAGACTTAAGGCTTAAAAAAAAGACTTAAGTCTTTTTGAAAGGCTTAAGACTTAAATCTTTTCTGTTTTATAGAAAAAATGACTTAAGACTTAAGTCATTTTTATTTCAAAAAAGACTTACGACTTATGACTTAAGTCTTTTTAGAAGTGACTTGTGACAGCTCTGTTTACGGTGCTTATTTTAGTCTAAACGAGCATAGTAAAAAATATATTTGAATTTTGTGTCGCAAACGTCATTACTGTGCCTTTTTCACATTCGAAGAACAACATATTATTTTCTTACATTTGTTAACAAATTAAATCTGACAATATCCTGTCTAACACAGACGAAGAAAATACAAAATAATAGAATGCAAGCAAGAAATTGCATTTTAAAATGTTAACTTTTCTTTTAATTCTGTTTAAACTTTGTTCACACCCATGAGCGTCATTGCAGTGTCTAATTTCATATTTAAATACGCGTTACATTCGGAAAATGCCGAAAGTTTTCGAACGTCTGATATGGAAATATCCTGCCTGTCTATAGACGTTATAACGTCCACTAGCATATGTCAAACCATAAAGTTGTGACGTGCGCCGAATGAAAACGAAAACGGCTTGTTACGTCTAAGTCCGTCATTGTCGGGGTAAGTATTATTTCAAAGTTTATGGACATACAAAATATTTACATTAATACAAAGGAGTCTTGCATTAACAAAAAGCAAATGGTTACTTGAAAATTCCATTACATTTTCGAATAAACATTGCAAAACACTCTAACCTTAAAATCATCATTACCGTGCTCGTCATTGTCGTGTCCCTGACATGTAACCAATTTAAAATATTTCATTTCAGTGGGAAATTAATTAAAATGACAAAACCACGAAGTTGACCAACGAAGCTAAAAGACAAGCAGAACGTGAGAGACGCAGAAGAATAAGAGATGACCAAGTAAAACCGTGGGTTCAACTTTCTAAAAAAGAAAAAAAAAATTACGTTTTTAGTCGTCATGATCATGTCTTTGTTCATGAGTGGAAAAGTCCTATAAGTGCAAAATTGATAAGATGTGTGAAAATGGTTCCGAAAATCGACAGTTTTAAAATATTCACCCATGAATGAAACAACAATATTTAGAATATATTATTATTAATAAAGTTAAAAAAGCAGATTAAATAATATGTTAGTGTTTTATAACCACTAAAACTCAACTTCCCTTAATTTAATAATTTGAGCATTCTTTTGAGCATACTTAAATATTTTATGTAAAACATCGTTATCGCTGTTATTAAGCATTCGATAATTTCCATCGAAGGCGAATTGGCACCAAATTCTACATTTATCAACATCTAGAGGTTTTCTAGCTACAAAATATTGCTTGACCACCTTTGAGACTATTTGCACTCTAACCTCCTCATTTTTCATGTCCTTAGTGGAAGCCAATACTGCAGCCAATGCACATGAATAGTTTGACTCTGCTAATAGATGACCGCCGGGTTGGCAACTTGCGTTTATTATTTTCTGAATATTTGTAGTGTTTCGTTGGTTCCCTTCAATTCTTGCTGCTATAAACCTTATGTCCTTTAATGAATATATGGCACCTGCTGAAGGAGTTAAGAGGACCTTATCAATTTTCATAAACTGAGCATGTTCTATTAACATCTTCCAAGTTTCTATTGCCAGCAAGCTAGCCAACTTTACGGTTAAAATTATTTCCTTAGGATTGGTTGAGTGCTTGAAGACTGCTTTATCAGTATGAATCCAGCATATCTTGCGCTTACTTTCACCGTCATTCCCTTTGGAAGAGAATATAAAGTTCCACATTTTATCTTGCTTTACTTTTTTAATAGACCTAGCTTCTGGCTCTATATCATAAATAACTTTAAAGGCAAATTCCAAAGCTTGACTTTTTTTACCATTTTCCAATATTTTTCCATAATCCTCACATATTTCAGCAAATTTTTTTTTGGCGTCGTTGTACTCCATTTGATTAGCTGAATGTTCAGCTAAAAATCCTTCAGGTATTTGTTCTAGTTCATTAAGTGTTATGAATTCATGTGGTGTTAGGCCTGATATTGACTTGTGCTTGTCTCCCTGGGCTGCCATTGTCAACTAATAATGTAATATTTGAACAATATATTAATTATGCGTTTTATTAATTTGAAATCTATAGATACCTATTGAAAACTATTAACTAATAAAATTAAATTTATTTATATATGTATATTAGGGTGGGCCGAAAAATAAAAAAAACTAGAAATTGGATTTGAAAAAAAAAGTTGCCTTTTGGTCAAACAAAAATAATTTGTATTTACAGTTTTTTCTTTGTGTGACGTCTTTTGCCCCCTACCAGGGCTCAAAATTTTTAAAATTTTGAATTGGAATACCGCCCAATATTTTGAGATTGATAATGCAAAGATAATTTTTATTTACAATTTTTATATGGTGATAAACCTTTTGCCCTCTACCGAGCATCAAAGTATTAAAAAAATCAGATTTTTTAAAAATTCAATCTACATAAACAATAAATTGTACTATAGTACCTATAGGTACGGCTTTGTTCCTTCCATAATACCACGCGCAGTGCACCAATTGGTGCCAAAAGTCTTTGTAAATGTATTGTTAATTTTTTGGATTAAAATGACCACAATTTAAAAGAATTATTCGGGGTAGGATGTGACGGCACAATCGTCAATTCGGGTCTGGAGTTATAACAAAATTGGAGTAAAAATTGGGTCGCTCTTTACAATAGTTTATCTGCCAACTTCATATGAACCGTATGGTTCATATGGTAACAAATAGTGATGTAAAATTCTCGAGCACGTATTTTAGAAGAACGTTCCCCGAGCACAAACGAGCATGAACGAGAATAAACGAGCATAAACGAAAAAAACCCGAGAATTTATGTTTGGGGTGTGATAAAGTATTCAAAAACTTACTTTTCCTGTTTTTTCCGAAAATGCTCAAAATGCTCAAAATTCTCCTAACGCTTTTTAAGAAAAATAACACTGTATTAATATTCTGGGTTGTAAATAATACAATAATTACTTCTAACTTTATTAAGTAAAAAATAGCAAAATTTTAAGTAACATCTTAAGTAGCATACAAAGTACATAAGTATCGTGATGTAGAAACATCATGTAAGAATTTAGGTAACTTAACAAAAAACTTTTTATAAAAAAAAATCAAATGCCTCTCATTTTCTTCTGGGCATATTTATTAAATCAAATATTTAAGTTTCCCGCGGAAAAAAAATAACACTACCCAATCTCTCTAATCACACACACTGACCCGAGCACTGACCTTTACGCAACGAATCGAACGTGTTAACTGAATCAAAATCAAAATAGTCAAAATATTTTTAAAACTCAACAGCCGCATATAAATACATGCAAAAACTACGGTCGGCATCGCCACAAAAGAGACCGGCGGTTTGTGATACCGTTGCCGACAGTAGTTTTTGCATGTTTGTTAACTATTTGAAGATATTACCAGGGCTGTATTATGTGCAATACACGCGGTCACGCGGATGAAACGCGCCGATTGGCCAGAATCGTGCTCAAAATTCTCTAGAGAACGTTCGCGCACCATAAATCGTTTGGACACGAAAGAACGATCTATCATGCGCGCACGAACGATTTAATTGTGCGCGAACGTTCGCGAATATTCGCCACAGCACGAAGGGAACGTTCCCCACTCTACATCACTAGTAACAAACTACCCCTAATCTCTTTAAACATCTTGAGAACAAAAAAACAGGCCCTGCCGCTTTTTCATGTGTGTTAGGCAAAAAATTTGATACATATATTTTTGATCCGAACTAAAACTAAATATCAAACAAATTTTGGACATTTGTTTGCAAGTGATGCCAGAATTGAATATATTTTTTTAACCATGTTTCTACATCTAAATTGTGCATTTCTTTCAAAAAAAAAAATAATTTCATCCATTCATCCACCGCTGTGGTTTTCAGGCCTTATGTCACTCTACTGTGTTAAAAATAGATAAATTTCGATATTTTGTAATAATATTTTTATTATTTTATAAACGTATCGATTTAAAATTAAAATAAAATGTAGACCATATTAATGGCAATAAATTCACGTATTTTTTTTAACATACAGGGGCGCTGGGGACAATTTTATTTAAAATTTACCATTTTTTAAGGGTTAAAAATTCGAAGAAACAACGTTGTTTCATAATTTTGAGTATATCACGTTAAAGTACTGATAATTAACTATTATTTGATATATATTCCACATGCAAATTATTTTTCTACGAGAGACATCATTTTTGAGTTAAGTAAGGCCTTCAAAGGGCATAATACTAACGGTTTTACAAAGTATATATTCTTTTATCTAGTTTCATAAGATAATGTATTATATTTTACATATAATATTTTATATAGGTATAACATATAATTCTTACATATTTATTTTAAAAAATCGCCATAGATGGAGCTAAAATTACTTTTATTTTTAAATTTAAAATTTTTTCAAGTTCACTAATTTTGATTATAGTAGGCATCATAGACTTTTCTCTATGGCAGTGTTGCCAACCTCAAAATAAAATATATGGTACACATTTAGAAAAAATATGATACATTATGGTATGCACCAAACAAATATTATGGCACAAATTGTGGTACATTTTAGGACTAAAATTCAAGCAACTAGGCACTTTAAGAAAATTCATATTTATTTTAACACAAACTTTGATAAAATAAAATAAATTAGGTATAAACAAAAAAAATAAACTTTGGTAAAAAAATAATAAATTATTTGCAACTAAATAAATTAACACTTTTAATCAAAAATAATATCGCATTCATCACAGTCTTGATTATTGTATAAATTCTCTTTAGTTATGTATTTGCACATATTTTCTGAGGGCTCGAAATTTATACAGTTTTTTTTTAATTTTTTATACCGCTCGAAAAAATCTTTTCTTAAAAACCATAGAGGTGAAAAACAAAAGTTTGAATAGAAAAGAACATAGTTATAACAGTTATAACTGCTGCTAACCTAGAACATTAAATTTTCATAAACAGCTGTTTATGAAAATTTTATACTGGCAGGACTGATCGCAACGTTGCCTAATTTATTTTCGGTGCAAAAGTATGCTTAAAAATTAATAATACTTAAATTATGTTAAAACAATATTGTAAAAAAAGAAATTATGGTACAAATAATAAATAAGGTACCTTTAAAATTATGGTACAAATACCATAATTATGGTACGGTTGGCAACACTGCTCTATGGTAACCTAACATTCAATTTATAAGTGTACTATAAACTCAAAACACTAATTTATTAAAATTAATAAACTAAATAATAAATATAGATAGAAATTATAACCTACTTTAATTTTATTAACCAAGCTTCAATTTATTTTTTACTCGATAAGCAAGCTTCAATTTTAATTCCAAATTGAGGAAAGTAATATTTACCCAATAAATAAATTAGAATAAAGACTTTATTTTTTATGTTGCGATCGGCTATTTAGATATATGTATATTTTTTATTCAGTTGTTTTTCGGTTTTTTTTAATTAGTTAATTTGCATTTTTTTTATATTTAATATAATGCTACACAGCAAACGGAAAAATATAGAACTGTATAGGATGACTCCGTTTAAATACTAAATCTTAAAGTTTTATCAGAACTGTATTGAATCGTGCTTTGTTTCTATATTTTTCGCTTCTATACCTAGGCACGACTATATTTAAAGTTAAACTCAATGGTGTCTTACAAGATACATTATTTTGATTTTCTATATTCAACAGAGAGGTAGAAACTCGACCCTGTCGAATGGTGCATTCATTTATGACTCTAGAAATTATTGAAAAAGGGTTCAGTTCAATGGTGCAGCAACTTTGGATTCCTATTCTCTTCAGAAACATAGAAACTCAAGCTTTTCGAATTATACTGGCAATGATTTTTGTTAATGTCCCCGAGAATTATACAAAAACAGCGCAATCCAATATCGCAACGGTTTGGACTTCTCTTTACTCTACCAAGTTATAGAAACTGAAGTCTCTCTAATACTGTTCTAGTCAATATTTCTGAGAGTATAAAAAGAGGGTGCAATTCAATATTGCAAGAAGTTTTGATCTTTTGATAGATGCAAGTAGTTTGAATATTCTCATTTCTGCATATCGATGACTTTCTGCCAAAGTATCGCAAGCAACATAACTCAAATTTTGGCAATTGAAAACAATTTTTGTTTTAAAGTCTGTTTTAAACTATATATAACCTATAGGTTTTATAACAACCCTGCTGAAAATGACGGATGATTGCGGATATAAATTCTTCGTCAAAACCGGATAAAAGCAGATGATTGCGGGTATAAATTCTTCGTCAAAGCCGGATAAAAGCAGATAAAAACGGGTAAAAATATCATCTGATAACATCTGCTTTTGTCCGCATCGCTATATCCGCGAACTATCCGCGATTACCTGCATTTTTTTCGTCTATTTTTGTCGGGTTTTATCTGCAAACGTCTGGTTTTATCCGCGAGCATATGCTTTTACCCGCGAACATCTGCAATCACCCGCGAACATCTGCTTTCATCCGCGAACACCTGATTTTATCCGCCAACATCTGCTTTTATCCGCGAACATCTGCTTTTATCCGCGAACATCTGCTTTTATCCGCGAACATCTGCTTTCATCCGCGAACATCTGCAGTCACCCGCGAACAACTGCTTTTATCCGCGAACATCTGCAATCACCCGCGAACATCTCCTTTCATCCGCAAACGTCTGGTTTTATCCGCAAACATCTGCTTTCATACGGTTTCACCCGCAAACATGCTTTTATCTGCGAACGCCTGATTTCATCCGGTTAGTGCACCCCCGCAAACATCTGCTTTTATCCGCGAACATCTGCAATCACCCGCGAACATCTGCTTTCATCCGCGAACATCTCATTTTATCCGCGAACATCTGCAATCATCCGCGAACATCTGCTTTTATCCGCAAACATCTCATTTTATCCGCAAACATCTGCTTTAATCCGCGAACATCTGCAATCACCCGCAAACATCTACTTTTATCCGCAAACATCTGCTTTTATCCGCGAACATCTGCAATCACCCGCGAACATCTGCTTT